CTGCCCACATCACCAACTTCTGCAGTGGCGCCTCACGATCATTAGGCTACATACGCCGCAATATACGTAAGACGCCCACAAACATACGTGCTTTAGCTTACGTACCTTTTGTTCACCATCAGCTAGAATTCCCTCCTGCAGTTTGGTCCCCTCATTACAGCTATTCAACTAACATGCTGGAATCGATCCAGAATAGAGCCGCTAGATTGATCTCACAAAACTACGATCATAGCGCAAGCATAACACAAATTAAAAAAAAAAAACTTATCACTTTCCCTTTTGAGCAGCCGACGTGATCTAAACCTCCTTTCATTATTTCATAAATACGTACATGAAACAAGGCCATTATCAATGCCATTTCAAACATCTGCATTCACACCGAAGAGACTAAATAATCATCGTTCATTCACACGCATATACGGTAAAACATACATTTTTAACTCATCTGCACCCCCCCCCCGTGTCATCCGCATGTGGAACAGCCTTCCAGATGAAATCGTAGCTGAACGCAATCGGGAAAAGTTCCGGCACCTTCTACTCACCCATTGCAAGGATTAACTGCTCGTTTTAGTCATATCGAAATCGGCACTTACGCGTTTATTCACTACTAGTATCTCGCTTTTTTTCTCTTACTTTAAACTTATTCTGTTTGATGGTTTGAATACTAACATGCCATTTAGTTCTGCTGTGTTTTATTCAGTGATGTTTTATTTGGATAATGTTAAGTCTTTTCACAATTTGTGCTTTTTTTATCTTGTTTTACGTCATTATCTCACGCCTATAGTCATCTGATGTTCATTGCCGTTGTATTCCTATTAAAATCATTATTATTATTTTCTCATTGTTATTCCTGTTAGGACTTGTATAGTAATTGACAATTAGTTCATGTTATTGTTTGTATGGAAATTGTACGAATTCGTGTATGTTTTGATTTTGTGCTCCCCTTACACAATGTGCTGTTGGGTCTGTAAGGTATTTTGAATAATATATAAATATATAAATAAATAAAAAATCGAATAACTTCATATGAATGTGAAGAGGGTGACTATTTGCACAATGTAAGTAAAGGTCACGTAAGCAGAAGACCTAAGTAAAAGCAATGGGTGCATGTATAAACTATGTACTTTATTAAGTACTTATTAAGTACATAGTGATGGCGTTAAAAAAGCGGTGTCTGCTGGTCTGCTTCAGGATAAGTCAATGTCTTGTCATCGAGGAGCAACGACAGCAAAAAACCATAAGACAATACTTATGTTACCAAAAAAGGTACTGCAATTGTTCGAGGGATACAGCGGTCAGCCACAAGATCTTAGCAAACGCCCGTTACTCTCGAAATATTTCATATTACAAGCAAACCGTATTTAATACATAAGTTATTCTTGTCAACGCAAAGTAACAAAATATATCCCATGTATGATTCTTATCGATGTGTTGATTGCTGCCTTCTTCCATCAAGGATAAAAAATTCAACTGGGAGCACCTATGATAAGCATCATGCCGACTATCATATACCGAGTCTCCCCAAGAAACTGGAGAACGCTGTCGAGATAAATAAAAAAAACTTCAAACATACCTTTGACAAATTTAGTCTTTAAAATTGCGTCAAATACGATTTATTACAGGTATTTGGATCAGTTATAACTCTGTGTCTGTATTGTATAGTAGAGTTTCAAGCCTGTCTGTTTTATTGTTTTTGTTTTTTTGTTTTTTGCTAAAAAGGTACGCGTCTGCAAATGCGTCCTTCACTTCACTTATGCTACACATTGCGATAATTATGTTTTTGAGGGTATTTTTTAAGTATATACTGTTCTGTTCTTTTTGAAATTTGAGATGTGCATTAAGCGATCAGACTTAGCTGATTGTGATTCTGCATAAAATTTTGTTTATTTTTTGCGTCTAATATCTGTATGAGATGTTTTCTTTGTACGAGATTGTATTTCAGAGCAAAAGCTTCCGTCACGCTTTACAGCCTTTCGATTGGACACTGTTTTTCTTTTTTTCTGTCATATGTTCAGGAAATGCAACTTCAAATAAACTGAAAACCAGAATATGTAACGAAACCGACACAATCTAGAGATAAGCGCCTAATCTTAAGCGAAATAAGAAGGTGAACAGGTGGCCAAAACTGAAATTGTCAATGCTGGTAACTGCAAACACCATTTCACCGCGTTCTCGCAGGCAACTTCAACCACGTATCGTTTGGCTGTTCTGGAAATATTTATTTATTTATTGGTTTATTTATTTATTCAGAGGACCCCTGCTTTGCCTTGAAGGCATTATCGCATGGAAGACAGCATCACAGTCTACCTATTTTGCAGTGAGAAGCAACAAAAAGATAGGGAAACAAGGTCATCATCGAAGTAAAAAGTAGATTAGCTTGTTAAAATTAGCAGAAACTTGAAAGAAAAAAACTAGGAAAAATATGCATAATTTTAAACAAATTCGCGAATAAAAATTATGTATATGATACATCGAAACATAGTTTTCCAGTAATATGTTTCAATTTTGTACAGCTGGGGGAGGGAGAAGGAATGAAAAAACATTTATGTTGTGAGTAAACGCGTGTACTTCTTCGAAGGGATATGTCTAGCTGAAACATAAGATGGTTTTACCAGGTAGGTCTGACTGTCAATGTCTATTTGATTATAAAAATTCAGTGCAATAATATGAGTCACAAGTTTTTTTTTCTATATGCTAAACTTTCCCAGCCAAGTAACGTTTTCATTTCAGTGACACTTCAAAAAGTATCGTGGTTTACTAAAGACGATTCGTGCAGCCTGATTTGTAAGCTTTTCTATTGCTTGTTTCCAAGATTCCTGGTAAGGGTCCGAAATCATGGAGGCGTAACCTAAGAAAAATCTAATGCGTAGAAAGTACAGTGTTTCTTCCATATCGTTCGACGCTTATTTGAAATTTCTACGTTTAAAGAATATATTATATTTGGTTAGGTATTGTGTGTTGTATATGTACGCTTCATTGAAGTTTCGCAGTAAAATTCACCACGAGGTGTCTGCACTCTGAGACTTTGCTTAGTATTGTGTCTTTAATTGCGTATGTGCTTGTTGATGGCAGCTGCGTGTGTTCTCGTGCGGCAGTTCTCATGCTGACGTGCTTTTTTTTTAGTTTTGAAGCGAACTGCATAATAGCTCAATGCAGCCTTTGCTTCCCTATAAACTACTTTCTTTTGCGCCGTGCAACCAGGTGGACACATTATCGGCCCTATATGTACCTAGATCTCGGGCGACAAAGCCAACATGGACAACAAAAGAGCCTCCAACGGTACCTAGAAATACCTCAGTGACTACGCCACCTGAACAGAGACACCTTGTTCCATCTTCCCTCCTTGAGGGAAACGAATGCGTCGGACTTCTTTGTCGATATGTGGCAATGACACTGCGCGCCAACTTTGACTATGTTGTTGAACCATGCAATAACTTCTACAAGTACGTGTGCGGGAAGTACAGGGGAACGAGCATTACAGAACAGGTGAGTAAGAATAGCTTCTTCTCAATTTAGGACGAAAACTGCTCGCACAAGGAATTCTGTTCGGATTTTTTATGACTTCGTGCCATAAATGGGTCGCTGTTAAGTTCAATTTTTTATCCCTCCCACCACGTTGCGGATGTCCGCAGAACTCATTTGCTTTATTGTGTACGTATAGTTCGAGTTGCCTGTGAATTGGCCCAAACGAATTCATCGTAAAACACGTTGGTGTGGTTGTTGTGGGCTGCTTCTCCTTTCATCGTATCGATGCACCTGCCGGCAATTCATCCGCGGAGTAGAGACTGGACAACTATTACCATTTTTGTCCCAAAAAGCTACACAGAATCTTCACAGGCAGGTATGTAACAGGCAATGATTGATACGTCGAGTGTACAAAACGAAACTTGACCCCGCTCACCCTGTGTTTTTTGGTGTGAGTTGGCGTTGCTACTGAGTACTTTAACACACTATAGAGTGTGACACCAATTACGTGAACAACGCTCGCCACAAGGAGGGCCTCTGATTGAGACAACACTTATGGTTGACGCCAGCTGTTAGCGAACCGAGGGAAGTGGTAGAAGACAGCCCTCAGAAAAGAGCGCCTGATCATCTGTATTGTGAGAAGGCGCTTGTGGAAGGGACCACTTCGTGCTCCGCTTTTGTATGGTATAGCTTGGCTGAGCTCTTGAGGGAAGTCTTTACTTTCTACTGTGTGCCTTTTTACTAAGAAAGAGGAATGTAAATGTCGACATAGGAGTTCAAGCTCTGCGAATACCTGACTGCAAAGAATCTGCTTGGATAAAATTATCTCGGTAAGTATATCAACGCCCTGCATAGCGCTGTGATCTCTCATTGCCAGTCACACAGGCTGTTATCTCGGTGCTCTGTTGATGACGGCATCCGTCGTTCTCGGTTGTGTGTACTATGACTCATTATGAAACTTTTTTTGAAGTTGCCAAAAGTACGCAACTTCTGACACAAAATTGCCGCTCAATTTTTTCAATTATTCTCTATTCGATAATTGCTATGTGAGAACCATATGTTGTATTCCCGGATGAACTGCTGTGAACGTGCGAAGGGTATTTTCACGTACCTAAGCAATGAAGTGTTCTCACAAAAAAAAATCGCAGCTTGCCCTCGGTGCAGTGTATATGGCTTAAAGGTGATGGAAAATCATGTGCAGTACCTACAGCTAGAAATAGGACAATTCAGGACTAAGTAACGAACACATTTGTGTTTCTACTATCTCGACTTCGAGTCATCTCGGCGTAATATCAGTGCGAACACGTAGATAGCAGAAAACATCATTACAATTAATAGTCGTCAGGAGATGGCGTCCTTAGCTCAAGCGGTTGTGCGAACATGTTATTGTAAAAAAAATCGTGTCGCGGATTCTTGAGTGCTGTGCACATGCCAAGTCATGTTTGTCTGCTTTACAGATTCAAGAAGCTATACGAGTGGAAGCATATCTGAACCTCAAATTCGTGGAGCCACCACAAAATAATCAAAGTGCGTTTGAGAAAGCATCTGCGATGTATAAAGCCTGTGTGTCCTTCGCCTCATCAAACCAACCAGAGGTAACAAGTAATATCAGCTAATTTCTCGTGAAATGGCTCCCTTCGAGAAGTCCGCCTTTTTGCATGTGATATATACTATCGTGTCCAGATGGTATCGCCTGATTCGACCAATACCTTTCGATCGAATTGGGCAAATAAAGTAAAGTACATGGCAATCGTATTTACAGTGGCACACCATCAATCTAGCATTATTCTTGTGCGGTGGCATCTAAGAGACGGTTGCCTAACATGAAGAAAAGAAAAAAAAGTGTTACTGACTGTGATGTAGTAGCTTAAAAAAACGCGAGCATCAGCAGACGACAGCGCCACATCACCTAGAAGATAAGAAGAATGAAGAGGCATTGCAGCGCGCCCATTGAAAAAAGAAGAGGAGACGCTCGCGGAGAACGAAGCCGTTCGGACGCCGGCAAGACGACGCAAGGGAGCTTAGGGCGAACCCGCAACTACGCGCGAGGTTCGAAAGGCCGGGTTCCTGTCCTCAAGCCATTGACGTCCTCGGGGCACGGCGTGTCGGCGTGGCCAGCACGAGTTCTCGGTGAGTGGTCCTGTGGACATCTCCGGTACGGCGAGCGCCCTCGAAAGACCGGAGCTGCTGACCACGTCTACCGAGCCGACATCGCTGACAGTGTGCGGCTACGCCTAGACCTGGTGATATAGACAGTGGTATGCTGACCTGGCACCCAAGCGACGACTGCATCCGAGCACGCAACGGGTCCCACTCCAAGGCATCGGGCTACGGCACAGACTGTGAGACTGGTTACTCTTTTCTTTTGTGTGTGAACCACGCGCGTGTACGACTTACAGTACTGTACGCGCAATAGTTTTTTTTGTTCATCCAATATAACTCCCGTTTGTTTTCCTCACTGTCTCCATCTTCCTCGCGTCACACGCCTTGCTATGTGACGAACCTAACACACGACATATCTGGCGTCCGCGAGACAGGACTACTCTTGTTACATCTAAGGAGAGTATCACATCGCATATGCGTGTGTGACGGTCGATGATGGAGGCAGATAAGCTGACGGCGATCGGAAAGGAATTGGGGTTAAGTGGATCAGCACTGAAAGAATGGATGGACCAAGAACGCGCACGCGAAAAAGAGGCACGTGACGCTCGTCTGGCTGAACGAAATGCCGCGAAAGAAGCCGAGGCAGAGGCAGTCGCTAGATTACAAGCAGAGAAAGAAGTTCTTGAGCTCAAGTTAAGGTTGCATCAGTTAGGTGCGACAGCAGGTAGCACAACTACTGGGCAGCTTACCGAGGGTGCGCCCGTAGGCACCACGCAGAGCTACCGAAGTCCACATAAACTCATCCCAGCCTTTAACGAGAAACGCGATGAGCTGGACGCATATATACAGCGATTTGAGCGCGTCGCTACTAGTCAAGACTGGCCGCAAGACAAATGGGCCATATCACTAAGCCTTTGCTTGACCGGAGAGGCCTTGAGTGTAGTTGGTAGGATGGCACCAGAACATGCCATGGACTACGTAACGTTGAAGAAAACGCTACTACAACACTTTAGATTCACAGAAGAAGGCTATCGGACAAAATTTCGATCAGCAAAACCAGATAATTCTGAAACGGGCACGCAGTTTGCCGGGCGTCTATTAGGTTATTTTGACCATTGGCAAGAAATGGCCAAGACAGACCGGACCTACGATGCTCTGCGAGACAAAATTGTCTCGGAGCAGTTTCTCGCGCAATGCCATGAGAAACTCGCTATGTTTCTTAAGGAAAGAAACTGTGAAAGCCTTGAAAAACTTGCGGAGGCTACAGACCACTACTTGGAGGCCCAGGGGTTGATTAACCTTGGCAAATGTAAAGGCGATATCCTCAGCAAGCCTCCAGGTCAAACTCCAACGTCTGAGCGGCAAAATGACAAAGAGAGACCGCAGTGTTTCCTTTGCAACAAAAAGGGTCACAGAGCAGCTGATTGCTGGACCAACACAAGGGGCCCAGGTACAAAGCCACCCTTTTGTGGAAAAGGCCGCCGCACTGGGCATAAAACAGCTGACTGCTCCAAAAGGGCCAACAGCGTTGAGAAGGCCTCATGCTCTTTTCAACAAAGAGATGGAGCCAAGATAATTAATTCAGAGTCGCAGGCTTCCCTTTGTGTTCCTTATAGTCTGGAGTGCGCAGAAACGCGCCCAGCCAAGCTGAAGAAAAAATCGATGCCCACGGGCGAAGGTGTACTCGAAGGATATCCCGCAACAGTACTGAGAGATACCGGATGCGATTCAATCATTGTCAAAAGGTCTCTTGTGGCGGATAGCAAGCTGACTGGAAAGATTTCCTCGATTTACCTCCTGGACGGACGGTTGATGAAGCTGCCTGAAGCACACGTGGAAATTTTTTCACCGTTCTTCACTGGCAAAACTCGAGCCCTTTGTATGGATACTCCTTTATATGATGTTGTCTTGGGAAATGTGGAAGGCGTTCGAGATGCTCACAATCCTGATAACGATTGGAAGAACCGTCCTTACACCCAGAACACTGCAGAAGAGTACTCTGGCGCAAAAAAATTCGGTTCTGCACACGGACCCTTGTATGCAAAGACTTCAACATCGGCTGCAAAGAAAACACGTTGCAAGACAAAAGTTGCTGCAGTAAACCGAAAGGCAGGAAATCCACATCTACTTCCGGCTCCAGTTATAAACCCCTTAGACATCAGCCCACAGGACTTTAAAACCAAACAGGAGGAAGACAGCAGCCTGCGGAAATGCTTCGAAGCCGTCAACAAAGAGGTCAAGACCAGGTTTGCTAAAATATTGTTCTTCACGAAGAATGGTATCCTCTATCGCAAGTACACCCTGCACTCTAAGAGGTAGGTGAATCAGCTTGTGGTACCAAGGTGCCTCCGACAATTTGTTATGAAAATGGCCCACGAAGGCATCCTTTCGGGCCATCAGGGAATTAAACGAACTACCGACCGGGTACTCGAAGAGTTCTACTGGCCAGGGGTTCAGTCAGACATCACACGATTTGTTAAATCGTGTGATATATGTCAAAGAACTATTCCCAAGCATTTGGTGGGTCGTGTACCTCTCGGCAACACTCCTATAATTGACACCCCTTTCAAGAGAGTAGCCATTGATATTGTGGGTCCATTATCACCGATGTCAGAGGGCGGAAACAAGTACGTACTGACAATGGTGGACATGGCAACGCGTTATCCCGATGCTGTAGCACTGCCGAGCATTGAGACGGAGAAAGTCGCTGAGGCACTTCTGGAGATGTTTTCTCGTGTAGGTGTCCCACGGGAGATAATCAGTGACAGAGGCACGTCATTTTCGTCACGCCTAATGAAGGAGCTAAGCCGACTTCTCTCCTTCAAACAATTGCCAACAACCCCATATCATCCCATGGCTAATGGCCTTGTAGAGAGGTTCAACGGTACCCTGAAACAAATGATAAGAAGAATGTGTCAGGAGTGTCCGAAGAAATGGGACCGGTACCTGGCGCCCTTACTCTTCGCTTATCGCGAAGTTCCCCAGTCGAGCTTAGGCTTCTCCCCGTTCGACTTGCTCTACGGCCGTTACGTCAGAGGTCCCCTGGCGATATTGAAAGAATTATGGGCCGCTGATCATCTTGATGATGATGTTAAAACATCCTATCGGTACTTAGTCGAACTGCGGAATCGTCTTGAAGACACCTGCCGATTAGCCAAAGAGGAGCTACAGAAAGTGAAAATGATACAGAAGAAGCATTGTGACCGAAAGACCAGACCACGTCAATTATCCCCTGGAGACAAGGTTCTGCTTCTGCTTCCATCGGATACCAACAAATTGGTTCTGACGTGGAAGGGACCCTTTAATGTCCTTGAGAAGAGAAACGATGTCGACTATTTAATTGACCTCGGTACCAGAACCACGCTATTCCATATAAACCTACTGAAGAAGTATGAGGAATGGCCGGTTGCACCACCGCATGAAGCATCAGCTGTTTGCCGGGCGGATGACACCGAAAGCGACGAGCTACCATGCGTTCCATTCCAACGAAAGGAATACTGCTCCCAGTCTCATGCGCAAGCCGTATACTGCAACCATGCGAAGCTGCTTACTCTAGAGTGAAGCGAGCGGCTCTGTCTTTTACGTGGTCGGTCCGGAAACTTCATATCTTCTTATTCGGACGCACATTCATTCTACATAGGGCCACAAACCGCTTGTGTACATCACGTCAGCCAAGCATGTGAACAGCTGCGCGTTACGGTGGAGCCTCATCTTTATGGAAGTGCTTAGATTACGTGGTCCGTTTGCCAACTCTGTGAGCAACGTCTGCATAAAGAATCGATGCTCAGTGGTATTAAAAGCTTTAGATGTAAACCTGACAGCGCAATACAAGTATCATGACGCTTTAGTTCTGTCACTTGTGTCTTTTTTTTTCTGGTGTGTACTTTTGTGACCGAATGTGCCGAGTATGCGGGGCGCGGAACTGCTATAATGTGCAGTGGTGCTTACGTGTGTGTTTCCGACAGCGAACCAACGTGTCCCCAGTGCCCTCAAGTTCTTCTACCGGAAAAACTTTCTTAAGTGGGGGGTGATGTGATGTAGTAGCTTAAAAAAACGCGAGCATCAGCAGACGACAGCGCCACATCACCTAGAAGATAAGAAGAATGAAGAGGCATTGCAGCGCGCCCATTGAAAAAAGAAGAGGAGACGCTCGCGGAGAACGAAGCCGTTCGGACGCCGGCAAGACGACGCAAGGGAGCCTAGGGCGAACCCGCAACTACGCGCGAGGTTCGAAAGGCCGGGTTCCTGTCCTCGAGCCATTGACGTCCTCGGGGCACGGCGTGTCGGCGTGGCCAGCACGAGTTCTCGGTGAGTGGTCCTGTGGACATCTCCGGTACGGCGAGCGCCCTCGAAAGACCGGAGCTGCTGACCACGTCTACCGAGCCGACGTCGCTGACAGTGTGCGGCTACACCTAGACCTGGTGATATAGACAGTGGTATGCTGACCTGGCACCCAAGCGACGACTGCATCCGAGCACGCAACGGGTCCCACTCCAAGGCATCGGGCTACGGCACAGACTGTGAGACTGGTTACTCTTTTCTTTTGTGTGTGAACCACGCGCGTGTACGACTTACAGTACTGTACGCGCAATAGTTTTTTTTGTTCATCCAATATAACTCCCGTTTGTTTTCCTCACTGTCCCCATCTTCCTCGCGTCACACGCCTTGCTATGTGACGAACCTAACACACGACACTGACACAAACCTATCTCGGGAGCGCTTCTATCTGATGGAATTAAGCGAGTCAGGAGGTGGGCGTGGCACAATCAACAAACACTTTATAACGCAAAATTAAAAGGCGTAAAATCGAAAGCGAGAACAAAACCAACACTCGCGGACAAAAGACTTGCTTAACAACAGTACAAGCAAAACAGTCTGCAAACCAGTGTAAATCCGTTCTTAGCGCTAGCACTGCTCCGAATTTAATATGGCGTTTCAATCATCGAACGATCTTACGGTTCACGTCACTTCTCTCCGATGCCATGACGAGGTTTATCACGTACGTCGTTGACTTTCTCTTGAACCTCCCACTGTCGCCATTGGTCGGTCCGGCCCAACGAGCCTCTCGTCGTTCTCGCCGGCGGCGAGGACGTCGTAGTCTTCTTCGGCCTCACTAAGATAGTCTTAGCGTCGTCATGGACTCTTTTGATTGCAAGTTCGCTCTGCTCATAGGTGTGGGCTGTGCCGTACTGCCGCTAAGTTGAAGAGATGCACGTCGACCGGGAAGTGCTGCGAAAGGGTGTGGCAAGTCCGGGCAGCCCCACTCGGAACCTCCGAGGTCTACGGCCACTTTCAGGGCCTCTCACGCTGACATCCTCAAAACCCGGTGGTCATCCTGCTCCCGTCGCGGTAGCGACTCTCGTTTCCCATGTCTTCGTAGCTAGGCGTCCCAAGGCAGTGTATGTGCTCATCTTCTGGTACTTTTCCTCCCGGCTCGGGTCACGTGCTACAAGCTTTTCTCCGATCAATCACTTCTTTCTCGTGGCTGCTGCGCGTGCACTCAGGTGACTCCTCTCTTCGCGAACCGTCACCACGCTTACATGTACGGCACGCGCCTCGTGCCTCTCCTTTACTGAAGACAGGTTCTGAAACCAGGCTAGGCGTAGTTAAAGAATATTTCATTACCATGCGGAAATCTTGAGATTGAAAAGACACCCGAAAATGGGGACGGTACAAACATCACAGCATATCCACGGAGTGAATGATGATGAGTGGGGCGAAGCATCCGTCAGCCCGTCCGTGCTTCTGTCCATTCGTTCGTTCTTGCTTCCGTCCGTCCGTGCGACCATCCGTGCGTCAATCGATGCGTCCGTCCATGTGTCCCTGTGTCTGTCCATGCACCCGTCCGTGAGTCCGTCTATCCGTCTGTCCGTTCATTCGTGCGTCCATTCATTCGTACGCGAGCACGTCCATCCATCCACCGTCCGTCTGCTAGTCTATCTGTGCAACCCTTGTGGCACATACCCACTCTTGAGCGGGTATGTGCCACCAGTGGCTACGTGAATACATACATACATACATACATACATACATACATACATACATACATACATACATACATACATACATACATACATACATTTTCTCTTCTCTTAATGGTTTATCTTCTCTTGAAGAGATCTCTGTCTCCTCAGATTATTTGCCATTGACATGTCTAGTGACTGTACCTCCGACTTCGATTGCACACACTTTGAAGATACTCGTAAGATAATTGTTTAGTGTGTCAAAACGAACTTCTGGTACCTCGTTTAGAGCCTCAAATTTGTTCTGGTGCTAAAGTCTGAATTTTAGTACTTCCCTCCTCACCGCTACCTCATTATTCCCTTCCTGCGTATCAGTTTCTGCCTTTGCTTTTTTTATGTGAATACGAACTGTTACCATTCTACGAACACTGCATCAGATTTTTCCAACTTGTTCTACATCGTGTACAATGTCTGGGTGTGCACACAGAATCAAGGCTATTTCATTTTTAGTTTCGCTACCCGTTTTCTGAAGATGGTATTCAAGATTTGTCAATTACTACGTTCTCCGAACTCTACCAATAACTTCTCTGGGGCCTTGCTAGAGTCGATGCCATATTCCCCTACTGCATAGTCTCCGGCCTGTTTCTTGTATACTTTGGAATTGAAGCTGCGCCTTAGAAAAATATACTGTGTCTTTACTTTATCAATAACTTACTCCACGTCTTCATAGAAGCATTCAACAAAATGATCATTATGGCTTGATGTAGGCGCTTAGGCCTGTACCACCTTCATTTCGTGCCTTTTCTTCAAACTGAATAAGATACTTGCCACCCTCTCACTCTTGCTACAGTATTCTTCCATGTTGATAAATATACTTTTTCGTACAAGAAACCACGCTCCCAGTTCTCTGTCAACTAATCCTCGGTAATACAGGACATGTTCGTTCTTCAGCCCTGTATGAGCCTCGTTTATCGTCCTAACTTAACTGAGCCTTACTAGATCCCATTAAAAACCCTCTAATTGCTCGAATAGCACAGCTAGACTAGCCTTACTAGATAGCGTTCGAGCGTTGGCCGTAGCCAAGTTCAGATTACCATGGCAGCCTTTCCAGACCTAGAGATTCTTAGCACATTTCAATGTGTCGCAGGTCTGAGCGCCACCTTGGACAGTTGCTTAGCAGCCTCTGGGTACTCAGGGTGCAGGGTTAATTGTTACTTTCCTAAGGGACGTAGTGGTCAAGTACTCCACCAAGATGGTCAATGCTGCTCTGGTGAGGACCTGCATTACGAGCAGGTGGTCGCCAGCGAGGCTCCACCACACACCATTTCTTTCATTTTACTTTTTTCTTTTTTAACAATTCTTTCATTGCGCGTTTTAAGTAAATATACAATTGGGAATGGTCCGGTATGTGCAGTCGCACCAAAGTTCGTCATTCCATGCTAGGTTGCAGCGCTATCTCTAAGTAGGAGATTGTTTTGCACTTTCATAGCACTGTAGAATACCACCTGATAGACTATCAGCTCTCAACTTCACATGGCTCGTTGCTTGCCTGTCTTTAAGGGGCAAAGCTCCCTGGGGTGTGGCTCTGTCCTTCCTCCGTTGATGTATGTAGCCACCTTGCAAACATCCCACTACACCCCATCACCGATCCACCACTTCAGCGACCATAAAGCCAACACTGTTAAGAAGTAGCTAATATGAAATGCAAGATGGTCGTGTACTTGTATCCAGGTGCACGTTAAAGAACCATAGATTTTTACACTGTGTGCATCCCTTGTTTTTACATGACCACCTATAGATTTCACCTTTGCAAACTGCCCACTACTTCGTCCTCGCAAACACCCCGCTACGCCCCATCACCGATCCATCACTTCAGCGACCATAAAGCCGTTATAATGAAGGGGGAATGGGATGAACGTGTAGCTACCACCTACCAATAGTAATATTTCTTGTATAAATATATAGAGTGTTTTCACATCTTTGAAGACATAGTGAGCAAGATTCGCGGATGGTTCACAGTTTAGCGATGAAATTCTCCAGTGCTTTACCCCACTCATCATCATTCACTCCGTAGATATGCTTTGATTGTTGTCTTAGCTTATTTAGATTTAAAAAGAAACAAAAAGACGCGCGCATTCAAGCCTCTGCCTTTCCGTGCTTGGTGCGGCTTGGTGCCTTCGATGAGCTTCCTTCTCACGCCTTTATTTTTTCCTAACTTCTTCCCTGTTCAATTTATTTCGGCATTGTTGGCTGCGAAGTCTTCACAATTTCCGACTTTTGTTGATATCAAGTGGTTTCAATCCTACTTTGACATTTCTATCAACTGATGATTTTGTATATACGCACTAGTAATTACATCTACGGCGATCCTAATAACTGGAAACAGTGAATGAAATTGTAAGGGGCGAATGATTTATTATTCTAGAGAGCGGCGAAAAAAGAGAAATTTCGCGCGAAAGCAATGCCGTGTTAGAATCACTCACCACATAGCGTCAGCTTGACGTGATTTACTCTCGGCACCACACACCACGATAAGTCCACGCGGCACGTTTGTTTACCACTAGTGCGAAGGTACGTTAACTTTTTCCACTACTCATTGAATTGTATTGAATATTGTAAAGCACTGTAACGTAGTGTCATATTTAAAATTGCGATAGTGTGTTGTATTTCACACAATTTTAACGCACCTTCATTACAGACCATGGAGCTGGTGAGATGGATGAACACGATGAACCTCGACTTTTTGAACATGAAAATTCTTCAAAGTGTCGATCCGGTTGAGATCATGGTGCGTGGCTCTCTTGACTTCGGAGTGGGTGTCATCATTTCCTTTGATCCCCAAGACACACGATTTGACCACGGGAAGAGAGTTATTGAGGTACTGCACTGATTTTTCGCTTTCAATGAGCTCAGATAAAGAGGTCACCTAAGTGATTAACGTCCATGACGGTTCTCAAGCTCTAATATGAACAGGATCTGGTTCGTAGCGTGCGTTCATTTATTCGCGTTGCAACAGTAGTGATACAGGTGTATAGCGAAATGATTGAACGCGGTGTGGGAGCTTCGGCTTTGTTGCAGTGAACTGTTGAACAGCGTGGCTGGAGGTTATGAAATCGTTGCATTTAGTTCGTGGCCAATCTACGTGGAGTGCTTTCTCTAATGCTTCTGTAATGATAATGGTTTATGTACGTTTTAGTATCTACAGGATATTGTTTTAAAACAGGAACAGCCTCACTTATTGGTCAGTTAACAAGGATGTTGGGCACACTTTGTATTTATAAGACCACGTGCACCGTTTTTGGAGAAACAGTTCAAAAATTTTAAAATTTGATGCAAAGAATCTTGTCTTCTTCTTTACAGTGACATTTCAGTTGCCAACAAGGTATCTCTAAACAGGTATCTTGAGATCCCCGGGTATGTCCGTACAGCCAGGTATCCCTATAGCAAAGTGGATACAGGAGGTCAATATCTCCTATGGGAGACACTCGTTCCAGGTTTCTCCGCGAGAAATTCGAAAGCATCGCGAAATAGTTCAGAAAGCAATGCTTTGCATCAGAAATACTGAAGTATATTGAAGAAAAGATTGTTGTTCAGGTGTGCTATCTCCAAAAGCGTTAAGGTCCTAGCAGTACAGGCACATAAAATTTGCTAATTTATTTTAGGCAACCATAATTTTGAATGACTGCCTTAATCAACATGTCAAAAGGCGGTAAGTTTACACGAGTCTCTACAAAATGACAAATAATGATTTCATCTTTAGAGAAAAAATCATTAGACTTCTGGCTATTTCTGTATTTTTATTCAATAATCAAACCTCATCTTCCTTGGGTGGTACACCAATTAAAAAGTTTCAACGTAACAATTCATTTTCCTTTATTTTGACAAAATGCTTGTTGTTGAGAGAGCTTGTTTCATTCGGCTACACTTAGAAAAAACTTGAGGTGTGAACATATTTCTCCTGGACCGGTATGCATAAATTTCAAGTTCATGGTCGTTACATTTAGAAAAGTAAAACGGTGCATTTATGTAAGTTGCATCGGTGATGCCAAATGTATTGTAAAGTATATGAAGAAACAATTTATTAGATTCAGAGCAGCTCTGAATCACGTGTGTGATACCGAAGGTACGTGCGTTCGTAAGAACGCACCGCATAGCGTTGCCCCCGCCGCAAGTGTTGGAGTGGTGCCAAATAGATGACGCGACAGCTGCGCGTTGATGTCACGCTCCCTTCTCACGTCTCTCTAGCAGGTGCGTGCTGACGTCACTGTCTCCCTCACCAGCAGCACGATCGCTGCAGTGCCCGCAGCGGCCAGTTCCTCCAACCAGTCACAACATACTTCTCTTTCGCTTCACCCTCTCCACTGCCTGCAATCCTTGACCACACATCAAGTGGAAACACTCTTTCGGCTCGTTTAGCTGCGATTAAACTTACACGACAAACTTAATCTGGCTCTCATGCCCTTGCATTTCGAAAAAACGTTTACTCGTGTAAACGCAACACCGAGTTTCGCTTCAAGCAGTTTCTCAAACACGCACATCGGCGCCCGTTTCGACCGGGTCAACCCCATGCGCACCGCTGCTAATTCGCATCCTATCAGGGTTTCCTTCTGGCAGACAGTCCATAGTTTTTATTTATTCATTTATTCAAAATACCTTACAGGCTTCTTATCGGAGCAATAAGTAAGGAGGCCAATAAATGGTTAGATGTGACATGTTATAAAATACAAAACAATATCCAATATAAGCTAAACATTCCCAAACATGAATTAAAATACGGCGATGTTATAAAGAGCCAGGAAAAGAAGAGTAACATTCACGTATAAGAACATAAATAAATAAAGAAAAATCATGCGTGAAGCGACAAGAAATGTGGACTCAATAAACATTGCCAGTTGGTGATTAAAAACACAGGACATTTTTGCAACAATTGATTGATATGTATCTTTTGACGTCCTAAAACCACCATATAATTATGAGAGATGCCGTAGTGGATAGCTCCATAAATTTTGACCACCTGGAGTTTTTTAACGTGCACCCAAATAAGAGCACACGGCCATCAACATTTCCGCCTCCATCGGAAATGCAGCCGCCGCAGCCGAGTATTTTTGCAACAATTACAATACTACCAAGCAATATATGGATCGTTACACAGCATTCACACAATGTACGAGGTAACACTTCTATTGAATAGAAATAGAAATGACTATATAAGGACGAAATCTTTGAGTGGGTGGCCGAGCGAGGTTTGCGATTTGTGATCAAAGTGGTATCGCCAGAGAGGTCGTTCAAAAGTTTGAAGGCATGTGGCCTCAAATAATAATAATCGCCCTTGTCTTACTAATGATGCGCTTGAATCTGTCTGGACTATGAAGGTGCGTGGAGATGCGCAATGGGAGTTTTCGAAATGAGTGAAAGGCACCTGGTGTTGTGGATATATGAGTAAAGCAGACACAAAAAGAAAAAGCAGCGGCATTTCTGACAAGGGTGCAGTAACGGGTGCAGCAAATTTTTGTAACACAGGACTGGCGCTCGTTATCTCAGTAATAAAACGAGAGAAGCTCTAAGTTAGCAATGAATAGATTTGATGTGAAAGCCAAATAGATGAAGCGAATTCTGCATGCAGGCAGGTGAACGTCAGGTACTCTACCTTGCGATTGTTAGGTGACAATTATGCAGATTGCAGTAAGTGTACTCAAACGTTTGCGATGCTTCAGCACAAATAGCAGTACTGTGAAGTCTGCATGAAAGATTGTCCGTTAGGTTTGTCCCTAGATACTTGAATGACTGAACCCTACTTCATGTTTTATTGTAATCAGAAGTGAAAAAGTACATTAGGTTGGACAACGATGCGCTAAAAATACATAAATTTCAACATAAGACAACTACAGCATGTACAATATAAAACATAATTCCTCCAGAAAAAAGTGACAGAAGAGAAGACCGTACATACAAATAGAGGTGTTCACAAATAAATCAGATAATATCATAAATTTACCGTTCTGAGTTAGTTAAGCTTACTTTATTGTCATAGTGAACCTGTCTAGTTAGTGAGTGTTAGCAGTTGCTGGATCTAGTTCATTCCAGTCTCTCACGGCTCTCGGGAAGGAAGAATATTTAAAGCAGTTAGAATTGTGTGTATATTCAGTTGGTGTCACGGAGCGTGTGTAACGTGTAGGTCTACATGAGGTTACCGAAATATATGTAGTGGTATCAATGTTTACTTGGTTGATGCATGAAATTTAATCTAGTTAGTTCGAATCTGTATTCATGGCTAAGAAGGCTACCCTTTTTTTAGAAAGTGAGTTGGTGAGTCTGAAGTTTTATAAAAAATGCGACGCATTTTTAAGCGAACTTCAGCGACTGTGAGCGTATCTATCTATCTATCTATCTATCTATCTATCTATCTATCTATCTATCTATCTATCTATCTATCTATCTATCTATCTATCTATCTATCTATCTATCTATCTATCTATCTATCTATCTATCTATCTATCTATCTATCTATCTATCTATCTATCTATCTATCTATCTATCTATCTATCTATCTATCTATCTATCTATCTATCTATCTATCTATCTATCTATATATCTATTTATCTATCTATCTATGCGCCTACGCCTTTCAGCTCTCCCGGCCGTTTTGATAATCGTACCAATACCAAACTTGGTATGGCATAACATGACGGTAATACGAGCATGAGTGACTCGTCATGACATGAAAGTCATGGCATATGGCCATGAATGTCATGATTAGCATTTCATGGTGATGCTGCTCTTGCGGTAGTTCCGTTCTCATGACATGTTGCAAAACTGGTATGGTATGACATGACTGCGTGGAAAACACAAGCGACAGCCACTCAAATAAAAATCATGACATGCGTGTCATGTAACAAAATGACTACATGCCACACTCATGATGCGCTCGCGGCCGTTTCGCTAGCTTACATATACCAAGTTTGGTATTGCGGGACGGGAATGAATGGTGAAGGTATGTGACTGGTGCACACATGATAATTATGAGATGCATGTCATGTGAGAACGTGACTACATGCCACACTCAAGGCACTGATACAATTTGAAGTGACCCGGTGCGCGCCCGCGCCAGCGCTCATTTCGTCACGTCACGACGGCGATGCCACGCCAGGCGCCGCTTTGTCTGCCATATACTCGCAGGCGCGTGCCGCCTTGCTTTGACGCTTGCGCGTTTTAGAGCGCCCAGCGTCCGTCCATCACGAAGAGAAGTAGACGCAGTGCAGTTTAGGTAACGTAGTCGGCGCTAAATGCATGTCGCATTTCGTGCCGGTTACCGCCGGGCCGCGCCGGTCTCGTCTGGCGACAGACTAGAGGCTGCTCGCGTTCTGCTTGCGTAGGGTGGCCCCGCCGCGGTGGTCTAGTGGCTAATGTACTCGGCTGCTGACCCGCAGGTGGCGGGCTCAAATCCCAGCGGCGGCGGCGGCATTTCCGAAGGAGGCGGAAATGTAGGCCCAGTGTGCTCAGATTTGGGTGCACGTTAAAGAACCCCAGGCGGTCGAAATTTCCGGAGCCCTCCACTACGGCGTCTCTCATAATCTATGGTGGTTTTGCGATTTAAATCCCACATATCAATCAATTAGCTAGCGTAGGGTCGCTGCGCCCAGCGTGCGCGCACGTCAACGTTACGTAGGAGTATATTCACCTTTTCATGAACGCCTCCCTGGGCGCCGCCATAACCCTCCTTGGGCTGTGCTAATTGGTGCGTCCTCTCAAAAATGCACTGACAACGCTGCGCCCTTAGCGTCTGTTTTACACCAGTTAGAAACTGAGGGCAGTGCTTCGTTTAATGATATGTGATTCCCGAAAGAGTTAATTTTGTGATAATGTATTCAATCGTCAGCGAACAATCTAATTTTAACAGCTGCGTTAGAATGTAAATCATTTGATAAAAGTTTGAAAAGAACCGAGGCACTCCAGATGGGACGCGTGAAAGAGTGGATGACTGTTAGTGAATTTCTGCAAACTGCAAACGGTTGGTATGATAATATTGAATCCAAGACATGATAAGTTCGTTTCCTAAAGTTGATTCACTTTTCGTCATGAGTTTACTATGCGAGACCCGATAGAAAGTTTTTGATAAATCTAGCGAAAAAAGGTCCATTTGTTTTCCTTCATTGATGTTAACTGAAATGTCGTGGATTAGCTCAACAAGCTAGGTGACAGTAAGTACAACTTTTGGGAAGCCTTGTTGATCACGTGAAATGATGGCTTCTTTTCCAAGGTATGTGGTTATGCTTTTAACCACTATGTGTGCAAGAAGTTTACTGACTGAGCTGGTCAGGGAGATGGGTCTATAATTGGAGACTTCAGCTTTGTGACCAGACTTACGTACTGCATTAGTTTTCGCGGTTTTTCAATCTTGTGGTATAGTACAGGTTGATAATCATTTATCAGCATAGGTATTTGGCTAAACGATCTGCATATCTTTTTAGGAATATATAAGGTACACTGTCTGTAGCCAGTTCCTTTTTATTGTCATTAATGAGTAACAGTTCAAGCAGACTAGGTTCCGTTACAAGAAGTGTTTCTAAGCGTATACATGGTTTAACAATATGTCAGAGTTGTTTTGAAGTCAGAGTTGTTAATAAGGTAGGGGAAGTCATAGCTCAATAGTTTGCAAGAAATAGAAATGAGTATAAATTTTCCAGAGTACAACACCATGAACCATTTTTTACACCGCATTTTTTCCGAGGTTAGGTCACTTTGCAAGATGTCGTGATCATTAGGAAATGTTAATTTTCTACATTCAACAGCAAATAGTCCTATACTTGAGGAAGTATTACTTTGCAACCTGTACTGTAAATATAGAAGAGTGAAGATCTAGAACGCTGCCTTGAGGGCTCCGGATGTCACATCACCAAGGGGAGAAGCACGATTCTTATTCACAATAAATTGATGTCGAGATAATAAAAAACTTTTGATACTATAATAAGCTAGAAGTGTTCACACCAATTAAATTTATTTGAAAACAACCAAGACAGGCCACCTTGTTAAAAACTTTAAAAGTATAAGAAAATGGTATCGCTTTGTAAATATTTGTTCATGCTAAAGCGCCAGTCGGTGGTAAACACGAGCAGCTTTGTATCACATGACGGATGTTTACGAAATTGATGTTCAATAATGAAAAACAAAATTATTAGTTTCCAGGTGTCTGTAGATATGTGATGCAGTTATGCGCTTCACCGTTTTACAGAAAATGCATGTTAGGGATTAGGCCGGTAGTTGTCTGGTTGATATTTGCTTTAAGCTAATACCTGTGATTACTAGGATAACGTCCGCAACGTTCGATTCTGAAGCCGGTCGTCAATGACTGATTATCGATTCTGCACAGTACTTTGCTAAAAGGGGTAGGGCGGAGAGAGTGGCCGCCTAAATGCTACAGGGCTCCGCAGAGGGTGGTGGCTATGCGATGATATCACCTGGTAAATGCGACCATCCATCTAATAATTGTTACCACTGCGTTTTATTATCACTGTCGTTAACCCTGATGAGAGAAACATATATCTTGTAGATGAAACGTATTCAACCGTTGCACTCAGGGCAATCAATCAGACATGCTACCTGATATATTTTTCCTACCTTTCGCGAGTATCTTTAGTGCGCGGGAAAGCGCTCATACTCTGGAAATGTGAATGCCGAAAGTGCCAAAATGGCGTTTTTGCCAACGATCAACAGTGCCCCGCCGCAGTAGTCTTGTGGCTAAGGTACTCGTCTGCTGACCCGCAGGTCGCGGGATCAAATCCCGGCTGCGGCGGCTGCATTTCCGATGGAGGCGGAAACGTTGTAGGGCCCGTGTGCTCAGATTTGGGCGCACGTTAAAGAACCCCAGGTGGTCGAAATTTCCGGAGCTCTCCACTACGGCGTCTCTCATTATCATATGGTGGTTTTGGGACGTTAAACCCCACATATCAATCAATCAATCAAGATCAACAGTGTATTAGTGATATTTTTTGTCCAGCCTTGCTGTGTCAAAGGTTCATTACATGCGAATAAATAATTACCGAATAAAGCAGAATGCGATAACGCTGGTACTTCATGCAACATACGTGACATACCCTTTCGTCGAGGTGTCACATAAAGCGTCAGCATATTTTAAACTCTCGCAAGATGTAGCTTTGTCGGCTTGCTAATGTGAAATGGTAAGGCTAATGTAACAATAAATCCGGACTTGCATACTGGCCTTCAATGACGATGCATCAATCGCATGGCCGTCGACGTCGTAAAGAAAATGATATGAAGTAGAGGGCGTGGCAGCTCTACCAGCTGCGCACTATCACAACGCATCTACAACAAAAATAAGGAGAGTATCAAATAGAGATATAGCGGTCACAATATTTTTGCTCCTTTTAGCGTGTTTGCATTGTTTGTTCCGTTGTATATATATACAAAGCATCGAATCAAGTCCAAGATGTTTTTAATGTCATGTTTTAGGCGTGGCTGTTCAGCTCTTATAGGCCACTCTGTTGAGAACTGCGTGCCTCTTGTGAGCCTGAGTCTGTTATCTGACCGCCAAATTGTGAAAAAAAAAGTTGTTTTCTGCGCACTATGCAAATTCGTTTTATCGTGAGGTTTGTCTCTTGTAATTCGCACCACGACTCTCATTAGTAGTGGCGCCCTCTTCAACACCACAAAGAACGACAGATACACGACCATTCTTTTTTCATTTATTCGCAGATGAGCTACAGCAGCGAACAAGAAGCCTGGCTACTGCGAAGGAGCAGTAAACCAAAATATACGAATGAGAACGACTACGCCCGGCTTTTCCGTTTATATGGAGTAAGGCATGATGAAGATCAGTTACGCTACGCTACGAAAATACTCGCCTACGAGGAACAACGTGAGTTGGCAAGTTTTATACATTTTCGGCAATGCATATATTTGAAACAAGTGTGCACGCAACTGCGAGGGAGGCTTCACTTGGGTTTATTTTTCAATGTTCTCCGTTGGAAATATTTAGGTAGCTTTGTTTTAATTGTGAATCTTACAATTTGCTTGAACATCTCGTAGGTTTAATATTGCAGTATGAGATAATCGATGAAGTCCCAAAAATATCTGGAGAAAAATATTTTCGCAGGTCTCATGGGCTAAGCAAAAAAGTATTACGCAAATGATTCTGCGAATAACAAGTTCTGGCTTACTGTTTGTCTTTGGCCAATGGTACAAGGCAAGCACATTCCATTCTGCTTATTGCGAAGTTAGGAACCCTACATAAGCTTCCAGGACACGTCAGGGACACTCTGAAGAGTGAGTTGTAAGTTACAGCCACACGTTGTGTCAGCACTCACATTCAAGCGCAAGATATATCATTCGGTTGCACCAACTTGTGTTGAACAGCCACTATAAAGGCAGTACATTGTCAATACTTGTGGATTAATCATTTTCCTGAGATTAGAGTCAGTAGAAGCACCACTGTAGCGAACATCAACCAGATCGGACTATGTACAAACTATGGGCAGTTCAAAGAGCTGGCAATAAACGTTAGGAAGTGCTGAACAACGCCCAAAGACAACGTTTGTCAACTATACATGGCAGACAACATCGACCTACTGTAGGCTATACTGCCCACCGATGAGCAATGTTATGCTGTAGCAGTAAACTGAAACACCTCAAAAGAAGTAGCGCAAAAAAACGAGGGCCAAAACAACAGCGTTGTGTGAAGTTGCTTGTGCCAGACGTGAGAGGAAAATCTGTGTGCGTTAAAACATTTTTAAACTTAATACAGTCAATTATGAACTTAATATTATGAACGTATTACAAATTATTTTTGAACTTAGTAAAGTCTGTCCAATTTGAATTATGAGCTTCATAAATTGTATCTTCTTTCTTGTTATTTGTGAATGTACGATTTTATGTGTTCAGTATGTATTTTCTTGTCCCCACTTCTACGTGGGCTCTGAAGAGCCTGCAGAATATTCAATTAAAAAGAGCATTGGCGCAAAAGGTAATGATGGCATATCTCTGAACATTAAAGCAACCTTATGACCCATTGTACCAGATATATTACTAAGTAAAGTGCACGCTTTCACACGTTGGTATGACATGGCGGATAAATTATAGCGTGTACCAAACTCCAGTTTTTTTATCATCTATGTCGTACTAACAAGCCCAAGCATCCAAATTAAATAACTTGAATTCGCCGACAAACGTGAGCCGGTAGTGCAGAACATACTAGCAGAAGCAAGCATTCGCAGAAACTGCCTCAAAGTTAGACCAAATGACTGAGCGCTTAGCAGCATTAGTCACTTGTCTCAGCCACTATCCTAATCTAGCATCCACAAGCCACCATTAGCCATGATTTAGTCAGGCATATCCACTGCTAAACAACAGTTTTCAGTCAGTAGGCATCCTTACGCAATCAGCGTAAGGATGCCTACTGGGCAATCAGCGGCAATAAAGATTGCTGGAGTGGAATGCTCTGGACATTTTGACTGTCTGGAGGTATGTAACTCAAGCCAAACTCTAAGCACAGAAATATCAAACAGGACAAGGGCTGTTGATTGTATACAAGTAAATGCTGCTCATGACATGAATTACACCTTTTGGGATGTCGTGTGCCTCGAGACACCGCAATCGAATAATAGGTGCAATGAAATGCTGTCATTTGTGCGCTTCATTCATGCCATGCTATGCACGACATTTTTCACGTTATTCATGTGAGATCACGCGATCATGACACGACGCCTCATGAATGTTGCAAAGCTATTGAAAACTGATTATCGCTAGCTTTGGCATTCTTTTTGAGGCACTCATTGATTAAAAAACTATCGATTGCTCAGATATCAATACAATATGAGAAGGGCAATCAGACGGGCCATTGGTTGTATTACAAGCGTGATTTGTCCAATTGGGTGCAACTAGTAATATCATTTTTGGTCGTCAGTATTGCAAATACTTTTTCAAGAGCCTACTAATAGCAACACTCAATTCGCTTCATTCATGAGCAATCGTTCGCCACACAAATTATTTCTTCAGTAAAACTGAATATATATATATATATATATATATATATATATATATATATATATATATATAATAAAGGATCAGATTAAAAAAGCAACCAGAAAATCTTTTGAAATAACTAGCATGAATACTTATAATTTTTTTTGAAATCATACAATTTACTAAATATTTGACGTCGTGCAGTTCGGCCTGATATGAAAGCTTCCCGCAACAATGAACCTTTCATCTCGAAGATCTTTGAGCCCAGTAACGTAGCGAAGAAGCACCAGAGTATCAACATTCTTCCAATTCAGCCCTCTTCTCATTCTCCACCATACAGCGTGTGCTGGGGAAATTCAATGAATTCACGTGGTTCCTTTTTGCTATCGGTAGTTTTCTCAAATCAACTCTTGATAGCACGATCTATTGCTTATTCTTACCACCAATAGTACAGTAGTGATTCAGCTATTAGAAGTATCGATAGCTGAATCACTACCAAAAGCTCTACATCACTACTGGTTATATACTTCATGAACACCTTGACATTTTGCCACGCACAAACCCATAAATTTAGCCACAAAGCCTATTGTCTAGGCAAGCATATGCGGCGGACACCTCCAAAAAGCCATGTGCTTTATGTCATGCATAATATGTATGCATGATGCACGCGTAAATAGAAACGCGTGTCACCCTGAAAATTGCGAAATATGACGTAAAACCTGTTCAGAACTGGAAGCACTGAAGTAACTTTATCTCTTGCCCCACGGCTGCTTTGCACGAACTACAATGCGCAGCTGGTTACCGGAAACCCGCGCGCTGCAACTTGGCCGTAGAAGTGGCGTTTAATGAAGGCGTTAAACTAGGGACCCGTGTACTTTCACTTACGCGCATGAGAAATCACTCCAGGTGGCCTACATTCTCTGAGTCCTTCCCTATGGCGCGCTAAACATTATATAATAGTTTTCGAGACCAAAAGTTCCCTGATGCGCTCTATGTGAGCATCACTAATTCTTCTTTTCTTCTTTCTGTAGTACGACAGATCGAGAAAGACACAATCAACATGACTCAGAAGCAGTTCATTGGCATTTACGATCTGGGCGAACACACGGCTCCACACGTCACTGGAAGTAGGTGAAAATACTGAAATCATTTCGCTGTACCAACCGAACACGTTTTTTTTCTGTCGGGAAACCATTCTTAGTTTAAGCTGGTATCTTTATTGTGATCGTCCTTTTGTATAACGTAGATGGAATTGATATGATGTGTATAATGGCCAGCTATAGCAACAACTATTGCAACACGCTATTTCAGGTGTCATTTCAGTACTTGAATGCTACATTGTCGGGAAATCACAAACCAAACATAATAGGAAGTGCTCATAAGGGGGAATATTTGGGATGTCTCAAGCTTTATGACTCTTTTTTCAAACATCGCCCAGTGAGTCATAAATATGAGCTTATATGTATACTACATAGTTGAGGCGAAGAATCTGATGTATAAGTTTAAAGCGAGTTCGTGAATACAGAAACTATCTTGTCAATGCGCCAGGCACCCGTCGACCTCCCCATTCGTGCGCTTGGTTTACATAATGAAGTTGAGAGACGTGGTCATGTAATATAAAGAACACTCCGAAATAGCCAGATAAGATTATCTACACTTTCGAGTTGTCTTTGGTGAATTTTCAAAGGAACTCTCCAAGTTGTAAGGTGAAAATTCACACGTATCATGCGAACATGGCATTGAAAAGTGTCTCAAGGCGACTCTGACGAATTATTTAAGTCTTTAGTGGCAGTCTATAGTAGCGTCTATGTTGTATCCTCTAGCGCCTTAGGAGATACCGTCCATGTTACGCATAGGACGCCCACTGACCCTACACTAGTTCACAGGACTACACACAGCCAGCAGAACTGGCCGCCTAAGAGACAGGATAAGCAATAAGAGTTTGAAAAAATGGTTTTTTTTGCGTACTATTTCAAATATGCGGCCGGTGCTGCACTACAATAAATCGTTTATATGTCTTTTAGGAATCGTTTTTTAAATGAAATAGTTGAAAATTGTGCAGCAGCCTACTATTACCCTATTTTTAAGTAGCAAGATATTCGTTGCAGTTCAAGGGCTATAAGCATATGAGAAGGCTACAGTGCATTTGTACTTCCAGAAAAATATTGGCTCCGAAATACAGCAGGATCATCAAGCTTTATGATAGGAAATTCTATATGTGGTCGGGAACGTCTTAGTGGTGTCTTATTCGCAACAATAAAAAGTATTATCGTTTAACCATTCAAAGGAAATAGAGCGAGCTTGGAGTACAAGTGGAAGGCCATCCGGGCCACACACGTCCGCACGGAATTGAAAGATGCCTATCAGTCACAAGGCCTTTGCCCGGAAGACGCTGAAACTCTACCAAGGCAGTTGAATTGTGAACTATACGTGGATAAAGAACAGCATCGAGAATTACTTTCTAAATGTCTCCATGAGGAAACCGAAAAGCCTAATGAGCCTATGAACTTCCGTGCAAGATTACGCACTTAAAACGCTTTCCTCGGACATTGAAGGAAAGAAATATTCACTCTTCATACTGTGCTTACTTTTATAACGGAAATATAACCCATGTCGATGCGCACAACTTCTTAGTTAAGTCAGTGACCTGCACAGTTGAAGGCCTACGCACCCTTGACCTACCTCAAAAGTACTTTCCTGACAGGGCTGCACAGCAGGCGACCAAGGAAGTTTGCCAGTCGAGACGTTTCAACAACAACAAAAACAATGGTAATGAAGTCAAGTGTCTGACTTGTGCCTTTTGAACGGGTCTGTGAATTGGGTGTTATAATGTTGTATTTTTTGATGCAATGAACAGTTTACAAATTAGAAAGCTTCCTTCTCAAAGCAAGCTTATTGTACTTTTGTTCCTTTATCTCAGCAAACACAAAATCTAGAAACGTCAATTGCGGACAGTACTTCGAGGAGGTGCTAAGGAAGACCCTGAAGAATACATATTGTTGTGTAAAGAACGGCTCTTCTTCAACGCAACTAATTCCTATTAGCGAGTTATAAGTAGGTACTTGGAGCAAAAAACTATCAAAAACTAGAACGACAAGTTTCAGTTCTGAATTGGTATTAGTAAGAAAGAGAATGACATATAATCAAAATGACCGTAAAATAATTGCATGTGGCTTTTCATGTTATAGAGAAAAAGGCACATAAACTTTGCCTAAAATTTATGGTGGCTATACGGCTCACCTTGTCTCCTAAGCTGTCTCGAGTCAATACACCACATGCACTAAGTAAAAGGACAAGTGTAAAACAGTTCCGCTGAAACAAAACATTATTTATTGACTAAAACAAACATCAAAATAAAGCTCAGAAGCCAAACGCACGCAATTTACACCAACCATCTAATAAACTATGTAATGAATTATATATACCATTTTTAATGTGTGAAGTACGTAAAATTTGTGGCAACTAGCCCTATTGGCATCATACTCACGGGCACAAAAAAAGTATGTCTCAAATCTGGCCTGGCATGTTAGTCCATTTCCAATTACTCTAGGCTCCACGGTCATCTCTATCAATTTCAGTGAATCAGGGTCGGATGTTTATGTAGCTCCTTGGAGGTACCCCATTCGCTGTCCTAATCGCCTACGGCACTCAAGCTCGATGCTCTCTAGCCTATCACTTTGACTGCTCCCAAGTGACACGGACGCTTACCACGAAGAGGCTCCTGCGGATTGTCTTTTGGGTCAATCGCGTTGGGCCGTCACAAAGAGCAGTGTTTCAGGTACTGTAGGAAAAATTTAAAAAGTGTAGCGTGACGTACAGGAGGCTTTTCTGGCTGTTGACCCGATACTCACCAGATACTCTACGAACTAAAAAGTGCTGTCGCCCACTGCTCTCACCGTCAGTGCGATGCTGGCTTGACGACTTTCGCCAACCGGTGCCATGTGGAAAATACGCACTCCGTTGTTATCAGTTGCCAACCAGAACTTATGTCCCGGGGTATGAGCTCTCTCACAGCCAATCAGTCGTGTTGGTGCGTTGCACATAACAAGTATGTTTCTACTTCAGTGCACACATTGAAGTACCAGCGTGCTGGCTGCCTTTACTCCGGTGTGCGAATTTGATTCCAGCGTACCGGCTGCCTTTACTATGGTGGAAAAACTAATAGAGGCCTGTCTACTTTCATTAAGGTGACACATTTGATAATTCCAGGAGCTAGAAATTAAGCGAGCCTACGCTATGTGTCTGTCCTAACTTCGTTGCTCCTTCGGCTCAATAAACCTGAATAAATATTATAATTTAAGCTTTTAGCTTAAACCAGCCCTTCGATTTCAGATGTCTGTTCAGCACTTTTGTCCTCTGGTTTACTTTTGCATCATGTGGTCGTGAATCTAAGTCAAGAGATTGTACGGTTGAGACGTGATTTGTGGTAGTGACATTCCTGTGGAAGAAATATATGTAGTTCAGTTTTAGAGTAGTGTTTCCACATTGTTGATCATTCAGGTATAGCCAACAGTAGGGTCGTGTGCCGTTGGTAAATGTAGAGAGAAGCTTAATATATGCCATATAACACTAAAGCAAACCGCTAAAATTCATATTTGTTATTTTTGCATGATTCTATCACAATGCAATCTTGTGCTAAACACCTCATTTAAGCAAGAATAGGTAACCTGCTATAGAATGAATGGTTTGGACAATCAAACCTAATATGAGCCATGCACAACTATCCACGAAAAATGCTGGTTCTTATATGGCGTCTGTCACACTTGGAGTCACTTTGGGGTATTAATGTGTATTACCCATCAACCGTTCTTTATTTCCCTTTCAAGTTTAAGCAATGGCCTTGCAATACATTCTGGCTATTAGGTTACCAATATTGGCATTTAAATCAGGTAGGGAGCTTCTTTTAGACTACAGACTGCACGTCCCAGCTGATCGTATCCTGCAGAAGAATGCATTTCCGCTCATGCATTCGGCTTTAACTGTAGATAATGTCCGGACTGCTGTGACGCTAGCCCGACATGCAAAACACGTAGTTCATGCGTCGTGACACAATAATTCGACATCTATTAGCATGTTGCCAATGCACTTTAGATTCCATTAACTAGTCGCGATGCGCATTTACAGTACCCTCACTTTCACTTACTAAAATTGGCCTGGAATATAAGAACACTCGCCCATTGTGGGAGTTGTTGAAGAGGAAGAGCGTACTGGCATACCTCGTTTTGACACGTAATGAAGTCGCTATCACTTGCAGGCCAGTTGAAATGTGAAGTAGGTTTCGTCTAGTGTCGTGTCAGGGACGGTAGACACTAAGCGAGTGGTACATAGCACCTGTTGTGGTAAATAAAAGCGGGAGTCTTGTAGTACGGTCACATGCTGAACGAAGTGATGAAAACTGACGCTTTTATACTGCGCTTATGTAAAACCAGACAGGACTTGCGTATATGTTAAATATTGAAGGTTTATAGATCTAACATGCATGTGTTGAAAAACATTGAAAATAGGGCGCTTTCCGTGTTTGACTCCATACCCAAGATAATTGTGCACTACGCGGGCGATTGATTCTGTATTGTGAAGTCCGGCCAGGTCGACAACTTGCTCGCATGCCTGAACTATCTTAAGCCTGAAGTACAGTCCGCAGTAGAAAGAGGGGACCAATCGGTTCTCCCTTTTTAGACGTAGTAGTGAGAAGGCAACAATATAATCTGTCCTTTTCGGTGCTCAGAAAACCCACCTATACATCACGCTACCTCCACTGCAGCTCGAACTACCACCCACGGCCTTAAGCTTTCTGTGGTGGGAGGGCCGAAATAATAACCACAGCTGCGGAAAGGGGAAAGCGATCAAATCATCAGTTACGTCGGCGCCAGCAGCTACACAAAATGGCCTGCGCCAGCGAAACAGTTGCCCATACACTGAAAAAGGCAGGGTTCAACGTCGCACACGAGACACCCACCAGCATCGCCAGCTTCATTCCTCTCCCAACGATCATGCGCATGCGGAAATATCTTAGGATGGCGTATACCAGATCCTGTGCGCCGACTATCCAGCTTCCTTTATTAGGGAAACAAACAACTTCTGTGAAATGATGCGAGAGCACAAGAACGACCTCCTTCGAATGAATAGCCAACCGAGCGAAGTAGCGGAACACTTCGAATGGTTTGCACCACCTCATTTACCCAGACGGCGCTTGGATTATAGTACAAAAAATTAACACCTGCCAGCGACTCCTCCTTCAATCTTGGCACATTAAGCAGACAGCAGAGAACATCAACCACTCCACGGGGTCTTTGCCCTGCCTTTACTGCCAGGGTTCGCGACGGGTCACGGCAAACCCCTACGGAAGGCGAGCAAGCATATATAAGCGCTGCACATCTCTGGCTTTCTCACCCCCGAGGGATAAGCCCGTCTGACTTCAGAACTTCGAGTTTAGAATACAATTTTTGGATGGAGTTTCCATATTGCCTCATGTGTTGTGTTGTTTACATACCTTCGATAATTCGTACATTTGAGACCATTTCCTGTACCGTCCAATCATGACTTAATAACTTTCTCTTAACAACAATTATTACGATTTTCACCACACGCAAGGTAGTTCGCAAAGAATATATGCGGTTTCTGTTGCATACGATCTGCATTTTCCTCCTCGTCTTATCACCCTTCGTGGATCCAAAATAAATGTTTGGTAACTTATCAGTTCACATTCACCATTAATTTTCGGTGTCATATAGTTCTTTACCGAATTTCGCGATATTTTAGCGACGGGCTGTCGAATATTCAGTTGGTAGCAACTCTATCAAAAAAGGCATAAGGGGCAATAAGTATGTGCGACTCAAAGCTGATATACAGCAATCAACCTGTCGATAAATTAATGATGTGAGAATACAGTCTATTACCATATTTGTCCTTGTTTTTCCAGAGGATTGGGAAAATTTGTTTTACAAGTATACCGAGGGTACCTACAAGGCGTCGCACCCAATCTGGACATCCTACGCAGTACCAGTGTCATTAAGGAGCTCTTTGATAACCAATACGTGGGCAAAACTGGCCTGCAATACCTGGTTGCTTGGAGCATCTATAGGCAGTTGGTCGAGTTCACTGAGCCGTACAGATACCGCGACGGAAAGAAGGCCGATGAAGCTTGCTTCGTGCACGTCAAGGACGTCATGAATCTAGCGATCCTTAGCAAGTTCTTCGAGTTGGGTAAGTACATTCACTGCACATCTTCGAAACAATTGCCATCATTATTTTGGAATTGTGCCGAGGTGACATGCAGCAAATACAATATTTGCAGCGACACGGTACCTTCTTGATTATCTCAACTAGTGTTCATCGCTCCAAATAATGAGGGGTTGAGTCAGATGGAACACGTGCGACTCGGAATGTGCGTAGAGTGTCAAGACGCCAAGCGTGTGTTAATCGAACCCCAATGAAGGGGATCACGGACCACAAGCTGGCAGTGCTGGCCGCTGTTACCTTCTTCATCTCTGCAATTATTGTGCTGTCTGCATGAAAGAAATACTGCGACTTTGCATGTTTCCTTTATTGGTGAACACTCCGGGCTTTTTTTGACGCAAGGCATTCATGTCGCTTCCACTAAAAAAACGTATAGCAGCTTCAGTGCTATGACACCTGAGAAAATGTTGCACGAGAATACAATGACTCTTATTGGGGAAGTACCCAGCACTGTTCTTACCTAAGCGTCAATGTTTCTAATGTTTGAGGAAGGCATGAAGGGTTTGCTCATTACGAGAACGATCTCGTTTGAAAGATTCACAAGCTTATCGTACATCATGTGGGCTACTTTTTGCTGTGCCTTATCGACTTCCTGCATGCTAAGGAAATATAGATGAGCCTCTTTCACATTCGAGTTTCGTCAAGTTTTGTTTTCCATCAGACGTTAGCACTTGGTGAGTCAGCACCGACAAAGAAACGGCGCCAGCGGAGGGACATTTTTTCCCTCTACGAGATAGTGGTACTCCTTACTGCGCACCGCTGAAATCAACCTCAGCTTTCCAAAACATTTGGGCAGTATTAGGATAGTTCGATTACTCCTTGACTATTTCTGCCAATGATATAACATTATACCATCTTCCTTCAATTTAACAAACATTCGAGTGTTCCTACTCTTGTTTTGAACCAGTGTTGAGTGGTTTGATACGAGCGTGATCACGCGACTAAACATGTATGAATGGACCACTTGTCAAGTGGTGCTTTCAAAGATAACCTATCCTATGAAACCTATCAAAGATAGCCTAGCCCTATCAGCTTCGCCAAGTTTATGTATCCACGTGGGTTAGGTAAACATTGTCACCCTACCTTTCCAGTTCAAAAATTATTTTGTTTTTCTTGCATAGAGCCTTCTCCAGTGCTTTTATTGTGTATGAATCTCGCAACGTCGTTAACGAGAAATCGCGCAGGCTAGCGATGTGCACTGACTTTGTCGGAAAAGCGCTCGTATGCATCGTGCCAGCGACGTTCCAATCATTCGAAAACGAGATCGATGGCTATTGTCTGCCACGAGTCACGTATACTTTATGTCTGTGTTGCTTTCATCGGCCGCGCTCTGCCATTCGTTTTTATACTTCGTTTATAAGTGACAATAAATACACTGCAAGAAATGTTTTTCGTCACATTTTGAGAAAAGGATGTTTTATAAAGTAAGATTGCTCAGTAATTTAAACTTGATGACGGCTGAAATCTCTCGGCGGAGTTTTCTGACGTAGCACGCTACAAAGATGAGTCGCTGGTTATATATATATATATATATATATATATATATATTGATCTTTGTAGCGCGCTACGTTAGAAAACTCCGCCGAGAGATTTCAGCCGTCATCAAGTTTAAATTACTGAGCAATCTTACTTCATAAAACATCCTTTTCTCAAAATGTGACGAAAAACATTTCTTGCAGTGTATTTATTGTCACTTATAAACGAAGTATAAAAACGAATGGCATAGCGCGGCCGATGAAAGCAACACAGGCATAAAGTATACGTGACTCGTGACAGACAATAGCCATCAATCTCGTCTTCGAATGATTGGAACGTCACTCGCACGATGCATAACAGCGATTTTTCGACAAAGTGAGAGCACGTAGCTAGCCTGCGAGATTTCTCGTTAACGACGTGGCGTTCGTGCTCACGGCTGGTTATTTTTTCACCCCCTTTTCTTTCTTCCTATTTACATTACATTTGTTATAATAACTTCCTACATTCATTGTTATTATTGTCTGTTAGATCTCATTAATATTGTGTCAAAACACGGAAACACGAGCCATTAATATATATATATATATATATATATATATATATATATATATATATATATATATATATATATATATATATATATATATATATATATATATATTGTGCCCGGCTTCCTTAGGGGTCGAAGAAGTAGAGGAAAATGAGCGACGTGACGGTGACTTATGTGATTGAACCGTTGTCTTCGTCCCCGTCGGCTCATCCCAGCACCGAAATCGTTCACGTTGTGCGCCTGAAGCCTTCGCACATCGAACCTAAGCGATGCATGTGTATAATGCACATTCTCGCTACAGCCTTTTTTTTTTAATGCACCGAGTCGGGGCCTTCGCCGCCGGAGGGTATTGTGTACTATTTGGGCCGCATACCTAGAGGTTGGAGAAGAGGAGGACGGGGTTGTCTACTGTTTGCGCCATCTTGGCTGTTTAAGTTTCGATCACTTTGTTGCTGTAAATATTGTAAATTAACCAGTCTTTTTTTTGTCTCCCCCTAACAATATATATGGGTATCCTGGAGATGACAGCAACGGCAGAATCCCTGCGCGAGCGTTCATAGATCTTTCGCGAGGCGACGCTTACCCAGCGATTTCAATGTTGAGGAGTTTCACTGACAATGAATGCATGGCACCGAACAGAAGTTTCGACAGGATATAGGACATGCGCTCTCCAGAACTTGAAAACGAGTATTTTATGTTAGTAGCACCATATATCGGTAGCTGACCTAACGTGTCATTTCAATGATCCCGAGCGGGAGTGCCTTAGAAGCAGTGCGCATTAGCGAGCGAGCGGCTGCAAATTGCTGTAATTGATATCCAACTATAAGGTTTATCTTCAGTAAAGCGTAAACTGAAGTCATCCCTGCTAACATTACGTCTTTTATTTTCTGTCTCTCATTCTTCAGTGCGTTGTTATAGGCACACTATCAAGAAAAAAAGTGATTACCCTATTTCTGTCTCCAGTGGTACCACACCACCAATTCCCCACACTGCGGTTGCCGTTCGATGTGATTATGTACTACTTTCCACCAAGCACCAGGCTAATAATGCCCCCAATCTTTTTTTTTTTGCTGGTAGGTACCCGGTGGTAGCAATTTTGTGCTTCTCAGAGCAGTGTTGGATGCTCGATTGTTTCATCAAGGCTATTTTGGGTTCAGGTGCACCATCACTTTTTTACAAAAAAGTTACGGGGTGACTTTCGAAATGAGTACCAAGAAAGAAGTGAGTGCCAAGTCGAGGTATACCTTTACTCACTAGCAAAAATGGTTGGTCGCTGGTCATTTATTTCAGTGCAAGTCGCATTGGAAGCGGACCCTAAATCATATAGCCGCTGCTTCGGCAGTAAAGTTGAATCTTTCAGAACCGAGCTCAATCATCGGGCAGCACTTTTGTTCTAATTTTTCACACTTTGATTAGATTTTGGCCAAAACACTAGAGAAAGCCTAAGGTATATCAGCCCAGCATATTTTTATATGATATTAGGCAAACAATAACAAAGAAATAGTGCAAATAACGGCATTTCGCGTCTTTCTATTCTAGAGGCTCCTGAAGCGACCAGATCAATACCCCTCAAGTTCTTCTTACGGGGTTTTCAAAAGCACTGGACCTATGGCGATGAATCGTGGACATCTTATAGGCTAAAAAGCCGTATTTGTAAAAAATTACAAACATCAAGTACAATTACAGCTTCAAGCGTGCAGTTTTGCTTCGAAGCTTGATGTTCTACAATACATTTCTTCAGAACGTTTGATAGGCGCTAGCCAGCTCTTTTTGTAGAACATTAAGGTGTTTTGTTCTTTCTTATTTGTTATTTCTTCTCGGTGCACATGAAAGTATTGGGTGAGCCAATAAGTCCTCCTGCTTTCTGGACGTTTCACTGAAGTCAATTTGAACCTGAGTATATTTTAAGAAAAATGAAGGTCAATCTGTTAGGTCAATTCTAAAGAAATCACTTTGTATTAAATACCTAGTGAATATCGTCAGTGTACATTGTTAACGTTTTCTTGATCATTATTTGTTCTATCCTCATTGAACTAATGTATTTGATGTTTGGGCGGGTAATATACCTGCAGATTCAGCTAACATGTTTTTTACATATTTTTCTTTACAACAGTGGTTACACCTCAGATGGTAGAAGAGGTGAGGCAACTGGCGTTTCGAATCAAGGATGTCTTCATTGAAGCCGTGCAATCTTCAAGCTGGCTCCTTCCCAGTGTTCGAACACGATTATTTCAGAAGTTGAAGGAAATCGATGTCCTAGTAGGAAGCCCAGGAGATCAATTGGAACCCAAGTTCGTCAAACGTTTTTATGGTCAGTACTATACGCTTAGGCAGCAGTGCCGGAGACATTAAAGATCAGCAATTAAAATTATTTATTCCTCGTGACGATAACGTGACATAATATAGAAATTGCTATTTGAAGAACAAAACAGTTAAACGCAGTTGGCAAGGCGAAATTGTTCGTGGCACTAAATACACTAGTGGAAAGTTGTTTTTGGTCATTCTGCGTGCCACATTCATGGCAGGGCATTAAAATCAGTAGCTGAATAAACTGAATGTGCTATTTCTACTTCATACGGCTCGCGATAGCAAATGTATGATCTAGTCCAGAATAGAAGAACAGAACAGTGGTGTATTATTCAAAACTCATGAGGCGATGATTGGAAACATGCTGTTTCATGCCAATGCCTCATGTTTCTCTCCTATCTGATAACGGTAGAAACCTGTTTCAGTCATGTGTTGAGAATTAACCAAGCTCGTATTTTTGAAATCCTTCCATCAACTATGGCTAGAGACCTGAATCACTTCTGTCCCATCATCAACTTCATCCCATTTGACTTCGAAACAACTGTTTGGGTATAAGCGGCGGAATATTGCAGGCTTCTACAATTAAAAAAAACACATGCAGAACCAAAAGCTAGGCTAAATTCCATGAAAAAGTAAAGCACGCCTAGGTATCTTCAACTTCTAGAACTGTTCTAATCAAAACCAGGCTATTGTGTATTGCATCAACTCAAAAAGGCAGTTTTCAATCAAGAACGAGTGACAGATTCACTGAAAAAAACTCTATTCTAAAATAAAATAGGTGCACTTTCTTCCTCCTTTTTGCCTCTTAGTGACTTTCTATTAGTTTAGCACTACAGTATCATGTCCTCTGTTCGCTCCAACACGGTACTTGAAATAAAATACACATGAATTGAAGATATTGGGCACCTAACTATTCTCTAAAGAAGAAAAAAGTAGTCCGAAACGGCGTGGCGTAAAATGAACTGGAACACTTTTCAAGGTCTTCAATAGATGTCAAGAAAGGGAAAACATTGATCACAGTTCAGACGAGTACACTTTCTGCCAGGAGGGGCAACTCGATCTTCCAAACTAGTAATCTTCATTACACCCCTGCGACGAAGTACGGCACCGATGCAAGCGCACGAAATATGTTATTACTATCGCCAACTACTGCTATACTGTACATTTGAATTGCTTTACATCTATTTCACAAGCTAATGCACGCTCAAATAAAATAGGCAATTTGCTGTTTTAGAAAATAAAAACGGCTCATTCACGTAGCGCAGCATCGGACTGCAGATAGTTCATGAAAGTTGCTTTTCTTTGACAATATTCACACAAATATACTGCTCACCTTAATTTGGGGATCCAGTTTGATCGTAATGCTAACACATGTTTTTAGTAACAGCATGATCATTTCGGAATCTTCAACTAGCGAACTGTTTTGAACGCAGAATAATCATCTGCTAAGAGTTTTCGCTACTAAAGTGAAATACAGCCGTGTAATCAGGTGTTTACTTTCTATCCAGTGCACAATATAGAGCCACAGTTTTTATCTCAATGTGATACGGCAATAATAACCTGCAGTGCGCTTCCTGTAAAACAAATATCAAAAGGCCCAAACTGGCCCGAATCGCTTTGGACGAGGAGAGATCGCTTACAGCAGATTAAATTTTATGTAGTTCACTAAATGACAAGACTTACTGATTTATTGTGTATTTTAGTTTTTTGCTACACAAGGAATGCGGTTTTTGTATGGAACGATGACGTTCAGTGGCGCCAACCCAAGATAAAGAAGTTTTTGGCTTTCGCCATCTTCTTCTATTCTGGATGATTTGCAATACAGAAGTTTATCTGGTGTGCGGAAACAAAGAAACAGATGACAGTGAATTCAGCAGCTCCTCCCGAGATGGTTTTTTCAGCTCGGAAGTGAGCATCGCGGGTGCTCACTAGTGAAGTTGTACTTTGCGTTATTCCGCTCTTTGAAATTTCTCACCTAATCGTGTATCTTCACTGGTGAAAGAGCCTGAAGACGCTTAGTCTTCACAATGAAAGAATGATGTGGTGTCTTAAACTCTTATATTAGGTCAAAATTTTTAGCTACACATATCTGGCTTAAGATGTTTTTAGAAGTACATTTTGTTGTGTATATTTGACTAAACATGTGGTAGAACATTCTGTCACATGCATTAGCTGATTTTCCGTCCATTCACACTCGACGTCAAGAATACAAAGTAGGCAGTTTTGGTCTGGGAACTTTTCAAAATATTGAGACGTAAGTACTTGGGTGTCGCAAAGTGCGAGTGCATGTGAGCTCAAAGCCTGTTGTAAAAATATACACCAAATCACGGGAGAGTTCGAGCTCAGACAGGTTTTTTATACTAATACGGAACAAATGCTCAGAACTCAATGAAAGGCAGCTGTTTTTTATTTCATTAGGTGCTATTCAGTGGTCTTTTATTAGGTTCCGGGGCAAGCTCCAAGCTGACATTGTAAAATAATGTCACTTCTCTGAAAGTAAAAAAAAACTACTAGGCATTGATTGCCTTCTAAATCTTTTTCTTCAGCCATTGTCCCATTCGTCATACTGATGATGCCGCCGCAGGTCTTCATTATTCATCGTTAGATAGCGAAACTTGTGCACATCCAACGAAAGATCTCATGCTGCAATAATCTTTTCAACAGAAACAACACGCAGGTGTTCTTGTGTATCTTCTATGCAATGTAAGTTTCACATACTCATATGTGTTCAATTGCATGCGCAGAAGCCCTTCCTGACGTGCCATTCAACCGACTCTTCCCCTCATGGATACAAGGTCGTCGTCTAAACACTCACTATCGCTGGAAAGACCAGAAAACTAAGTTTTACGACGAGGAGAGAGTCACTGCCTTTTTCATGGGCTTGAATACCGCAGTAATACCTACAGCACAACTTCTTCGTCCATTCTTTTACGAGTACGGACCATCCGCACTTAAATTTGGGGGAATAGGAACGGTAAGCACTTATTTAGTTTTGCATAAGACATCAAGCATGCTGAACTTCGTGCCTGTTCTCCTGACTGTACTCACAAGTGCTATCGTACTGCTGTAGTAAACCATGTGCGGGTGTTTACATACAAAAGAAGAAAGTCACAAAAATGAAAGCACTTTCTTTCTGAAAAACAGCTCAAAAAGTTGCTCCGAGAATAAACCCCGCTTTGCGCTGATGTATTCTCACATCGAACTGCTTCTTCCCGCAGTCAGGAACGTGCTGCGAGCAGTAATTGACCACGCCATTTAGTGACGAAAATAATCCTTTGAGATTCCGGTAAATGCGTGTCAGTGCGAGTGCGAGTGCTCGAATTGTACCGAGGGTCCGCGAACACAGTCCACGGCTCCAGTGGAGAAAATACCGCAGCTACAAGAACGGCGGAAAAAAGGACGGCAGAGAAGGAGACACTGCGTAGAAAAGGCGCTAGCTTGAGAGCCGTTCGAGCAGTCACCCCTGAGGAAGAGACCAAATCGGTCGCGAAAACATCGGGTCAGTTTAAAGTGTTTGATTTTAACGCTAGAAACTGATATAAAAGGAGCTCGAATGTTTGCGTTTTCGTTTTAGTTTTCACCCAGCCAGAGAGGTCAGCATGGAGTACGCTTACCTTTAAATAATGAAGACTTAGACGAAAGCGCAACTTCAACACGTAACTTGTATCTTCATTAGTACCCGGGCAAGTTGCGATCGGCGAATGATAGTCGCGATAAGCGACTACATCAGTCATACTACGGTAGCTTGTACAACAATGTTACATAATTGTTGAACTCGGTAATGCGGTAATTGAACTCGGTAATGCGCAGTTCAGGTTGGGCATGTACAACAGCCCTGCGGACGCAGTATACCATAGGAAGTGGCTGAACCTTTGTAGAGCTGCGGGAGACTACCAGATGAAGCTGTATAAAAGCAACAGTACACCCACCGTTAAATGGTGTACGTTTTCGTGTTTCACAGCATAATACTAACTTTCTCTTCAGGAACGGAACCACCACGCACAACATTAGGCGACCGCAACCGAAGATGCACGCTTTCTCCAAGCGCGCATTCACAATTGACAAATGCAGTGAAAACAAAAACGCCAGAGTGGCAAGAAAACCACGACCGAGCGAGTCGAAGATGTTCACATTCATTCTGGCCCGTCCCGCCGCTACTGACGTCGCTATCTTCAAATACAATTCGATTTTTTCTGCTTTCGAAGCTGTAAAGTTTGTACAGAATTCTAGTTATTCACAGCTCGCACCTTTTCAAACTTTGTTTTGGGAGATAGCCAGGCAGAAACAACACGAGTGCACGCACCGGTTGCGGCGGTGGCAGATATCAGATGGCTGTACACTAACGTGAGTCACGTTAAGCATGCCGACTCGCCGCTGCTGCACTGTCTTTTCAGAGTTCTCGGCTATGGTAATCTAAACTAGGCTCTTGATGAACGTGCCCTCGTTGAGGCTGTAAAGCTCCGCCAAGCTGCAAGGGTAGTTTGCATGGAGCCAATTCGAGCCACCTCCGATGCCTTTGCTGCTATGTTGAATCTGCGGCAGGCTGGTTAGATCACGTGCTTTCATCTAGCGCAGTCAAAGCCGTGAAGCGGAAACCAGACCCGCTTTTGCATGGCGGGAAAGTTGGTCTCGGACCAATTCTTGCGTGCTGGCCGCGTGGCATGGTTTTCGGGCCGCTTGGCCTGCTAAACGAGCCAGTTTGTGGAGAGTTTGGGTGCTCTCGCTCTCTTCGAGGCCAAGTGTGAATGCGCCCTAACGCTTATCTAGACACGTGAGATACACTAAGAAACGTTGAATACTAAGAGAGGAGGCGTCGTCGCCACCGGCCACTGTTTGACCATAGCGGCTACGGCTATCCACGGCCTCCGGTCGCAGAGCGCATACGAACAGCGCCGAAACCTAGCCGCGTAATATGAGGGATGTCACGGTGTCTTCCCTCGAAATGTGCTACAGTATGTGCAGGTGACCATTGCAAAATGCATATTTCTTTCTTTA